CGCTTGCCTTTGAATGCCTTTGATGTAATGTATGAGCAGAGTGGAGAGTGGAGAGCAGCAGCAGCTGCAGACTGGAAGATTCTCGTACCACAAAGAGAGCTGCAGGCACCGGTTATGCGTGTATGTGTGTGTGCATGTGTGTATTTGTGTGACTTGCTTTAAGCGAAATGGCAACAACTCAACACACACACACACACGCGCGAACGTATGTAGGCAACTGCAAGTATGGAGTTTAGCTGTCCAACTCCTTTCACCCACTCGAAGAGCTGCCACTTGCTGAATAATAGGGCAGCCAGCGTTGCCACAGATCACAAATTGTGATTTCAGTGCAATTTGCAGCAAGATTTATGAGAGAAAGTACAGTAAAAACAGGAAGCATGAGAATTCGCAAAAACAGAATGAGAACTGTAAGGTAAGAAAAAAAATATATAAATAACAGGTGAGACCATTAATGGTTATGTATGTCATTCTGGCCGCTCACAAAGAACCGATCTTAAGCAGATACAAGAACGCTCCGAAAGTGGAGCATGAGAGATCTTGAAAAGGCAAACCTGACATTAACAAGTTTATGCGAGCTGAAAAAACCCGGATTTATGTATCACAATTTTATCTTTCCACTCATTTTTCGCATGCGAAATCAGTTGGACTATCGATAAATTGCATTTTGGAATTGTTGAAAAATAATTTCACAAAATAAAGAAAGATAAGAGAACTAAAAATTCTTGTGCACATTCCAAACGTATCTCAAAACTGTTTATTTTTTTTTTATCTTAAAATGGAGAACAAAGTTTTTTTATCTGACTTAAAAGTGTGGAAACATTTGCTTTGTACTTGACGTTTTTCCATTGAATACCATGCGAAAGATTAACGATCAGATGGCAGATTAAACGAGTTATGGGAAAATCTGCGAGTGACCATAAAAAACCCAAAACGATTCATTTTTTTTTTATGTGGCACGCAAAGCTGTTCACGAATGACTAATAGAAACCCCTTTCCCCTCTCCCTCCACCTTACCCATACGAGGTATTGGAGTGGTAAACCTGATGGTACCCTCAAAAAGAAACTAGCACAAAATGCGGTTTCCTTCTTATCGAGAGGGCTCGAAAACAATTCCCTATATAAAAAACAAAATAAACAGAGCGAGAGAGTGAACCGAAAACAGTTCCAAAAGTATTTAAACGTATTATCGCGATAAAAGCCAAGCGAATAGAGAACTGAGGCGAAAAAAAACAACAACAAAATGCCATAAATAAATAAAACAAAAATAAAACAAAAACAAAAATTTTTCCAGCAACGGCAACAAAAATAAAAATACAAACAACAATTTATGAGTCGCAATAAGCGAAAAGCAAATAAAAATAAAAGCAAAAGGAAAACAAAAATAAAATGTTAACTAAGCAGGAGACAGGGCGAAAGGGAGGAAGGAGGAATGGGGGGAGGGGGGCAAATAATTAAGGGGTAATTGTAATTGGCTGAGAGACTCGCGCGAAAACCAGCATAAAAAAACAAAAGCCAAGCGTTATCTGCGATTGCCCAAACTTAAAGTTGATTTGTTTTTATCTAGATTGTTTTTATTATCTCGAAATTGAGATACTTTTGAGAAGACAAGAAATTCGATACGCACCGAAAAGTGCACTTCATAAGTTTGAGAGGCTTTAAATTAAATTTATGGCATCATAAATAAATATACCAGGGGCATTACAAATAGTTCAGTTCAGTGAAAATTATCGAAGAATATGTAATCAGGCAAACATAACGCTTTGAGAAGCTTTCAATTTCTTGTGACTCATAAATACGATCGAGTTTCATTTACAAAAAAGAAAAGTCTTTCCACTATCAACATTTTCTTACATTTTTTGCGAATGTGAAGTATGTTGGGAATGTGAAGCATGTTGTTATTTTTTCACATAAGAAACCACATTTTATACATTGAACATTTTGATAAAAATGCAATGGAAACGCAGAATGTGAAGTTTGCAAATGTAACAAATGTTGAGCATAATGGAATGAAGCCAATAAAAAAAGTTTAGTACGATAAAATGTCAAGTTACGATAAGTTATCGATAACTTTATCGATATTTAAGCATGAACAGTGTTTGAAAACGAATCTTTACGGGAAATTGAATACCATAGTTAAGACATACACAGAAATATGCATACATTTATGAGAGCAAATGCTCTTTTGACATCTTCTAAACGTCAGAATCTACCGTTAAAGGCTTGTATTAGCTAGTACGTGTGCATTTGCGTGTGTGATATCAGAAAAGCAGAACTCAACAAAAATAAAAGCGAAAACAGCAAAACAAATAATCAAGTAAAGCGTACACAAGATAATAAATAAGAGAGATAGAGAGAGAAAGAGAGAGAGAGAGAAAAAGCAGAATTTCAATTGATAATCAAAACGAGAAAGTAAAGATATCCGCGGCACGCCGAAGATTTAATACCCTTCTGGACTTTTGGCATACGCTTTTGCAGATATGTGAGATTAGTGAACGCTCCGAAATGTTTGAGTTTGATGGAAATATCTTGAAAAACAGAAGTCAAACTATATAATATAGTAGTCCGATCTTGATCAGATTTGGCTGATAGATAAGCATGATAGTAAAACTGATGTAAAACGGATTTGGTTATGATATCTTGATAAACAAAAAACCTTTCCATACAAGAACTTAAGCTTCGAACGATCGTTCCTATGGCAGCTATATGATTTAGTTGTTCGATGTTGATAAGATTTTGCATATATATGAGGAGCATACGGAAGCATATAAATGCCGAGTTTGGTTAAGATATCTTGATATATAAAAAAGTTTTCCATACAAGAACCTGCTTTGCAACCGATCGAACTCGGCTGTTGATGCAGTTCTAGAATATATACGCTATAGGGTCGTTACATGTAGCCTGACAACATTAACATACCCTCCTAAAGGGTATAGAAAAGTAAGGGGCAATAAATACATCAACAAACGGACTAAAAAGGCAACAGAAGCAGAAACATCTTTGAGCTGGCAAAGTAATCAGAGTCAAAGAGCGAGAGAAGAGCTAACAGATAGAAAGGAGAAGAAAAGAAGAAGCGAAGGAGAAGAGAAGGAGAAGAGAAGAAGAAGAGAAGGAGAAGAAAAGAAGATGATAAGCGTCTGGGTTTTCACACGCGCCTCAAAACAAACCCATTCGGGAGGGAAGGGAGGGGGAGCAGCAGCAGCACCAAAAAATGTTGATGGGCAATGCCAAAGCGAACAATTGGAGCCAAGTGACAACAACAACAACAACAACAACAACATAAGCAACAACAACATCAGCAATAAAACATCGCCAGAATTTCGCATGGCTTCGCGTCGCGTTTATTGTTTGATTATCAATAGAACGAAATGCCGAATGGTAGGGAATAAAATATAATGCGAGCTGTGCCTGATAAGCGAGAAACGAAAAGGGAGAAGGGAGAAGAGAAGAAGAAAAGAAGAGCAGAAACGAAGAATATACAAAAGAGTACACGGCAACAAATAATAAACGAATTATGAATTATAATCATCATAAATTGTTGTCTCCAGGCGCCAGTTGCCTGTTCGATAAACCGATAACGATAACGATAACTCATAGATTGCTGTACCCAGACGCAATTAGCATGATCGATAAACCGATAACGATAACTCACGAATTACTGAACCCAGGCGCCATTTGCCTGTTCGATAAACCGATACCGATATCTCCCTCTGATGACAGCGGATTTTTATCTATCGATAAACCGATAACGATAACGGGCATAATTTAGTCAGAACAAGGAACACAAACATCATTCCCCCCCACAAGAACCCGGCAATTCGTGCAATAACGTCTAATATTTATTTTATATTTAATTGATCATGCAACAAATGCACGCTACGTAATGCCCTTATTTTTAGATAGCCAATCGAATAGGCAGAATCTGGGGAAAACTAGAATAAAATATTTGAATTGAACTCAAGCGTAAAGCAAATGTATCTTCAGCCAGACTAACCGCATAGCTATATTTAATATATATACACATTTGTCTAGATCTGGCTGGGAATTTTGCTATTCAATATCTTTTTGAAAAAACCCCAGTTGAAGGTCGCATTGGTGCAAAGTATATCAAAGAAAGTTGAGTGCATCGCGTTTTATTGGAATGTACACGACATTTGCCCATATAGATAATTTCATGAATTTGATGATGAAATAGTCCACAATGAATGGCATCAGACATTCTATTGGCTAAGGTCGGATGAAAACGGAACCTGTTCCATTTGTCTACTTCGATTTGTTGCATACTATGCATTTGACTAGGCGAATTAGCAGAAATGTTTGTAACAGTGTATATATATTCTTGATCTGCATCGAAATTCGAAATTCTTATTATTCGAAATTCTTATTACAGCAAGAAGCAGGTTTAGAGTATCCCCTAGTCGGGCAGTACCTACTAGTTTACTCCTACTTGTTTCTCTTAGTTTTGTCTAAAGAAAAACCAAACTTTATGTTCGACTTATACTGATCTTTTCTTTGGGTCCTTTATGATACATTGATTCAATCCATCTGTCCTTTATCCCAGCTTTATCACTCTTAGCTATATATTCTGTTTTTTTTTTTCTATCAGAACTAAGGATAGTTTCTCTATATAGCGATTCAATTCAGGCAATCTTTGAATAATAATGAATATTTCTATTCTTCATTCAAGTTTTATCACTCAACTTGTTGACTACAAAGTCTGATTCTTAACTCAAGACTGGGCAACAAAATTTTGTTACTCAGTTTCCAATTAGAACTAATATATTATTCAGTTCCCAATTAGAACTAATATATTGTTCAGTTCTCTATTAGAACTAATGTATTGTTCAGTTCCCTATTAGAACTAATATATTATTCAGTTCCCTTTTGGAACTTGTTCAGTTCTCTATTAGAACTAATGTATTGTTCAGTTCCCTATTAGAACTAATACATTGTTCAGTTCCCTTTTGGAACTAATAAATAATTGAACTTAATTCGAAACTCACCTGTTTCGCGCTTTCGCTTGCTGTTGGCCGCTGCTCCAGACTTGGACGACGTTTTATGCTGCTGCTGTTGTTGCTGCTGTTCTTCCTCTTGCTGCTGATGATGATAATGTTGTTGTTGATGATGATGTTGTTGTTGTTGTTGCTCTTGCGAGTGCTGCCTGATGATGACGCTGCGCTGACGCGGACGCCTCGTGTCCGTGTCGAGATAGACAATGGGCTTCAGATCGCAGCTGATGCCAATGCTAACCTGTTTGGCAGTTGGCTTTGCGTCCAGCACATCCACAGTGGCTGAACCGTTGGCGGAACCGCAACCGGAACCGGAACTGGGAGCGGCAACGACGACGAAATCGGACGCGTGTGAAGGATGCGACGTTCTCATTGGCGCATGCGAATTCTTAAAACGATCCTCTGGTGCTCTCTATATACGTTTCTCGTTCCCTCGCTCTCTCTCTCTCTCGCTCTCTCCTGCTCCCTCTCTCTTTCTCTTGTGTCGCTGTTTCGCTTTGGCTTATTTCGCAATTGGTTGCAAGCTCTTGTTTGTTTTTATTTCTCCTTATATTGTTCTTGTTTTTCTTCTTGTATTTCCAATTTGCTTCTAATTGGATTTGATTCGTTTTGGTTGGTCTTGTTGTTGGTTTTGTTGTTGCTCAATATTCTTCTTCTTCGTCTTACAATTTAGTTTACTGTACAAAAAAGTGACGTTTGCTATTGAAACGTGACCAAAGAAAATGTTGACTGGCCTCGCCGCCTTTTACATATCGATTGTTGAGGAATTAATATTTACAAAATTTCTTAACTTTTTTTTATTTTAGACAATTTATGTTAAATTAAAAGAGAATCTGCAAGCAGAAGAAATAAGTTGATTAGCGACATTTTGCCAAGAGTTCGAGTTAAGCTGTAAAAAATAAAACACTCTAATTGGACGTCCAATTGGAGCTGCCCAGTTTTCCCATAGATTAACCAACACTGGCCACTATTTTCGTTAGATTTACGAAAATTTCCATTGGCATCTTTTGTGTGCAAAACAACAACAATAAAATTAACGTTGCCAGACGCCAATTTGTGGTTTTTGTTTTTATCTTTTTTTTTTCTTTATGGTGCGGCGCACAGTGGGTCGAAAGTGTGGCAAGACGAGACAAAAATTGGATGGGCGTTTTGCTTGTCAGATTTGGATTTTTAAATAATTAAATATAAAATAAAAGAATTGATCTTCATAATTCGTGCACAGATTATTTAACATAAATATGAAATATGAAAAATATATTAGACACGTTTAAGATTTAAATGAAGACATAAATTAATATTTATTTTTGATTTTTTTTTTGCAATAATATATCGATACCATGCAACTGCAAGTTCTTTAGATACTCAAATTTAAGTTTAGTTAACCCAAGACTCGTTTTTTTTGTTTGGTTTTAGTTCAAATTTTGTCCACTGTGCGGCGTTTTGTATGAGAACCGTTTTGGGTGACTGCCTGTGTGTGTGTGTGCGTGTGTGTGTGTGTGTTTGTCGTGCCGAAATATAAAACTACGCAAAAACTATAAAAACATGCGCCAACAGCAACAACAACAACAGCAAAGCAGCGTAGCATAAAAGCAATAACAAATTCATAGATTACGCACAAGGGAGCGAACGTAAGAGAAAGAGAGAAAGAACACACACACATGTAAAGTGAACTACGCACTTTGCGTCGCAACGCATGGCAAATATGTTCTTGGAACTTTCAAAGCGCTTTGCGTTAAAAAAGAAAAAACCAAAAAAAAAAAAGGTGTCCAATTGGCAACTTTCGTTTGGGGTTGTGCGTGTGCGAGCGTTAAAAACAAAATTAACAACTTGTTGGGCGGCTGGACGGTGGGGTTAGGGGTGAGGCATACACGAAAAATAATGAATGTGTGCGGCGAGAAAACAAAAATTAATGCAAACAAAAAGCCGGTTCTCAAGCACACACACACACACATACACACAGACACACATAGTCATAAAAGCGAGAAAAAGTTGCAAAGATGCTGCCGACGTTGACGTCGATGTCGACGCCGCTGCTCATAAGAGAGAGCAAGGAGTTGCAGCTGCTGCGATGGCAAGCATAACAAACAAATACGCGCACAAACACACACACACACACACACACAGCAGGCAGGCAGGCAGGCAGCGCCACATCGACCGGCGCAGACGTCAACAACAAAATTCAAGAAGAAGCAGCAGCAGACCGCGACAGAGCAGCGAATTAAAAGCTGCGAGGCGGCAGCGCACGAACCTCTCAGTTAACCAGCCAACACAAAAAACGGCAAAACAAGTTTTTGTTGTTGTTTAGTTTGTTTTTGTTATTTGCGAGCTGGGCGAGCCACAAACAACCGAAACAACAACAACAACAACAACAGTAAATGTATTTGTATGTATTAATAAATTGAATTTATTTGCAAATTGCGACACTTTTTCGCACACACACACACTCACACACGCGCGCGCAGTTAGCTTTGTGAGAGCGAATTGCCAAATATGTTTAATATGCACACACACTAAAAAAAAAAGTGTTGCCAAACGTTTTTCGGTTTATCACCTTTTGCTGCAGCCGCTGCTCAAGCGAGGACGAGCCTTTTCCTAATCAAATTTTTACTTTAATATTTTTACTTTTGGCTGGCGCGTAAAACGTCTGCTTAGGCCGCCGATTGCTGAGACTCTGCCAGTGCTGCAGCTGCTGAAGGCTGCGGCATTGCTGGCTTTCGTTGTTGGGCGCCTGCGCAAGCGCCGGCAGCGGCAGCGGCAGCGGCAGAGCATTCATGCGCGCTCTCTCTCTCTCTCTCTCCCTCTCTCCCACTCACTGTTTGGCGCTGTTCAGGCTCTGCCCGGGGGATTCGCGAAATTGTCGCTTTGCTGACGTGGGCGCGCCACCATAGGCGCTGGCAGGCAGGAAGGGGGGGAGGGGGGGGGCTGCTGCTGCTGAAGGGGGAGTGACCGACTGCCTGCCCGCCTGTTTATTTCAACAGACACGTAAGGATTTACGTAGCGCGGAGTGGATTACGAGCGCGTCAGAAATAGTTTCTTTTGCACAATCAACAAGGCTCAAGTAGGAAGACGGGCAAGGGGGGGAAGGGGTGTAGGAGTGTGTGTGTGTGTGTGTGTTAAGGAGCAGTGTTGTAGCTGATGCGAAGTAGAGGCAGGTCGAGGGTTTGTTGGCCGGCGGCAGAACGCGAAACTTGCGTCGTGGGCAGACTTAATTCAAGACACACACACACACACACACACACACACGCACACACACACACACACACACACACACACACACACACACACACACATACGTGTATTTCATATTTTTAGCTCAGAAAATGGCACAGTTACATTTCTAAAGAGGCAAAAGGATTGGGGCAGGCCACTGAAACGCCCACGCCCCCTTCCCCTCCACCTGAAACAGGTAAGCATATGGCTGGCATATATATATGTATGTATATGTGTGAATTATGTATGTATTTATGTATGTATGTGTATTATGAAAGGGCAACTTTCTGGTAATGCGTGGGAGGAGGGGGGGGGGGGGGAAGGGTATTAGAATTAAGCTGGCATTAAGCGGCTTTGCACGGTCAACAGTTTGGTTTTTAACATTGAAATGCTGTTTTTTATTTTTCGATTTCCACCCACTTTTCACCGTTTGAGGTGAATTGTGCAATATCAGTGAAAGACGCTTTGGAATAGAAATGAATCAATTAAAATATTTGTTTTTTTTTTTTTTACAATAGAATGGAATGTATACTTCTTTATGATATTTGCGCGCTTTACAACACTTTAAAGTAGTTGCATGTAATCTTAACACCAGCTTGAACCCCAATTAGTGGCCAGCAAACAACCCCCCCCCCCCCCCCTACTGTTATGCAGCCCTTTGGCTAGTTCTCGAACAGCTGTCGTGTCGGTTGGTTGTTTGGTTGACAGCTTGCGGTTCCTTGAATTTCACTTAATTGACAAGTGTGGGTGCGAGAGAGAGAGAGAGAGAGAGAGAGAGAGAGTGAGAGAGTAGCTGCTCTCTTGGCTGTATTAAAGTTGTGCAACAATTTCATTTGTCTTTAAATCTTTTACAGCTAACAGTGCAAAGTCGACGCAGGCAGCGGCACCGACTGCAGCAGCTCTGTCGACGTTAACGCGCAAGCAGCAAATGGTTTTCAGTATCCTTTGCATGAATGACACGCGCGCTCTCTCTCTCTCTCTCTGCTCTGCTCTGCTCTCTTGCTCTCTGACTCAAAACTGTTCTCACGCGCACCGGCGACGCTGGCGGCGTTTCTTTGATGTTTATGATGACGCAGCGCTAGGCAGAAAGAGACACACACACACACACACGTGAATGCATATGTATGCACCTTACGCAGGCTTCGCAACAACAAATTGACTCGCTGTAAATGTGAATGAATATAACGGTCTGGAATTATATTAGAATGAACAACAACAACACCAACCAAGCACAGGGTGACGTTGCTTGGAAGAAGAAGAAAAAGAAGAGCGTCAGACGGCGCCCGCATTTGCCAGCCATATGGAAAGTTGGCATTTTTCCTGACGCGCAATATGGAAAAGTACACAAAAGCCAAAGACACATACATATATAAAAATAATAATACAATTAATGTTGACTAACAAGAGGCAGTTCTCACACACACACACACATACACATACATACATATAGGCAAGCGTCGCTCGCGGCGTCACCCTGTATTGAAATTGTTGTTAAAATACAAAAAAAAAACAATTGCTGTATACATACAACAAAGTTCGTGGCAAAAACAAGTTAAAAATGCAATTGAAAACGTGTATAAAACGCGCTCTCTCGCTCGCACACACACACACACGCACACATACACACGCAAGCAGGCTACGTGCGCTACTTTGAGTTCATCGTTTTCAATTCATTTTGAGTTTCTCTCGTGGCTGCTGCTTGCCACAGCAACAAACCACTCAAGCCCACACACACACACACACACGCACAGGCACTCAATGCTTAAACGTATTTGTGCTTACTTTTCATTATATATATATATGTGTGTATATATATATATATTTTTTGTTGATGTGCGCGAAGAAAAAGGAAGGGAAAAAACAAGCATTCACACTGCGCGCAAACACTTGGGCCGCATTACATTTGGCGAACAGAAAATTTGGGAATTTTTATAGAAAGTGCAATTGAATTTGCGTTATTAAAACACTCGCCATGTTGCGCTCGCTCGCTCTTTTTTACACACACACGCACGCATGAGACACAATGAAAACTTTATATCTTCTTTATTTTATTTTTTTCCACACTTTTCCACGAGCCCGTAGAACGAGCGACTCGGCGTACGCGTTGTTCAGAGAGTTTTAGTAGACTGGGTGGGCCAGTGTGCGCGTGTGAGCAGAATGTGCAAAAATACCAAATTCGAATGCACCAATTATTGCCAGCTTGAATTGAAAAATACTAAGAAATATGCTAAAGCGGGTATAATATCAATAATTTTCAAGCTGGTCACACTTATTTAAAAGTGGTGCTAAATAAGACCTTGCATATGATTGGCATTATTTGGCGCGCTTTTTGAAATTCACAATCAAAACGCATTTTTAAGCCTAATTGTTGATTTACATTTGTTGCATATAATTAAATGACTAGCAGATGGTAGCAAATGGAATGTTTGCCTAAAGAAAAGCACAAGGCGTGCCAATTTCCTGCCCAAAAGCAGCAGCGAGCTCCACACCTCCAACACCGCCGCTGGCTTCCTCCTACATGGTGCTGTCCAGCATGTCCACCAGCCGCTTAATCTCCCGACTTAAAGGCAAGAGAAGGGTTCATATGGATTAGAGACTGTGACAGAGAGTTGTGACCCGAACTTACATGCGCTGACTGAGCTTCTCGGTGGGCCGCATCGACTTGGATATCTCCTCCGTTTTGGCCAGCAGCTGATACTGGCACTTGATGTTGGCGTCCAGGGCATCCGTCAGCTTCTTCACCGCATTCTTGTGCACCTCCACATTGTCCGCCGTAATGGAGCTGATGGAGTGCAGCAGATTGCCCAGATTCTCCATCAGATTGTCCACCGAGGTGGCCAAATACTGTGCCTCCAGCTCAATGTCGCTCAGCACATTGCCATCCACCTCGGGCACATTGCGGGATTGCAGGAAACGCGATATCGGCGCGGAGGGCGTTGTCTGTTCGGAGTTGTTGTGGTCCGTGGTGGCGCGCAGTTTCGACTCCAGATTGTGGGCCACAAAATGATGCATGGCGCCGGTGCTGCTCGTGTCGCCGCTGCCCTCCAGCTCGTAAGGAAATGCTGCCGATTTGGCAAAGAGCTTGAAACAAGCGTGGAATATGGCAATAAATAGTACTCACTGGATTGCAGCGACTTGGGTCGATTTGTGGGCTTGCTTGGCTCGTTGGAGCTGTCCTTCGAGTTGCTGTTGCTGGGCTCCTCCTCGTCCTCCTCCTCCTCGTCGTCGTCGTCATGGTCGTCATCCTCGCCCGAGTCCAGATTCATGTAGCTCTCGCTGCCAGGCGGCGGCACTTTGCCGGCCGTCGGCGTTATGTCCTGCAGCACATGCTCGGGCACTGGACCCGCATACTGGGCCAGAAAGGGTATCTCCGAGTAGGAGGCGGGCGTGCCGCAGGCGTTGTTGCGCTGCTGCTGCTTGTGGCTGCTGCTGGCGGCATCCTCGCCGCCGGCCTCGTCTGCGTAGCCGTAGCGTGGCCGTATGGGTATGTCCTGGCTGCGACGCGACATCGAAACAATATCAAAAATTCAACTTAATTAAGTAAAACTGCAGCAGCTCAATTCTTTGTTTGTTATGCTGCGCGTTACAGTTCAGTGTAACGATTGCAAAGACTATCGACTATCGCTTAATGTAGATACGATTACAGTTCAATGTTACCAGCGCATTGGTAAAATACGATATGCGTTTCATTTTACAATTGAGTAAATTCTTCACTATCGCATTGTTGTCGAAATTAAGTAATTAAATGAAACAATTGTATTTGTTGAAAGCAAGTACAAAGATTAATCAATTAAATTATTTACATATTGCACACTTTGCTTGAACAACGCGCGCTCAACTTTTGTCTATCGCCCAACGCCATCGATAGTATCGCTTAAGTGCATGCATCTTGCACTTATCGATATGTATACGATATATACATCCCTAATTTTTACCATAAACAAAAACAACTTCGAGCGGTTTGGACGCGTCGCGGTCGGTTTTCGCGTCGTTGTGTTATATTTTCAAACAAATGGCCGCCGACGCGTATGTTTCGGCAAAATCAAGTGTTAAATGTTTTATAAATGTAAATGTGTATCAACGTTTGATCAGTGTGCGCCAGCCGAGTGCAGCGTTTAATTTTTAATGTTTGAAAATTGTAAATGAAACAGCGGTAAATAACAAAGCACCGTTTGCATAAATGTGCAAGTGTGTGTTCGAGTCATTTTGTGTGTGCGTGTATTAAAAGTCCGACAAAGTGCATGTGCACGGAAATAAAGTGCCGCAAACGCCAAGTAAAACAGATGAAATAATATTTTGCAATGTCTGCGAGTAAATTGCAAACGCATCAAGCTGATAAATGTGCTAAAATTAAAGCATAAAACAACCCGAGCAACTAGCAGGTATCGATACACACACACACACATACATAGAGAAAGAAAAAAAAACCGACGGCGAATGCAGTGCGTGTGCAATTGTGTGTGTGAGGGCGACAAATTCGCTCTGTGCATATGTGTGCGCGAGTAAAGGAAAAGAAGAAGCAAACCTGCGTTTGCGTTTGCCTTTGCATTTGATTTTGCGCTTTACATGTGCGCCCGTTCCGGGGTTCAAATTCCAATTGGAATTCACAAGTTGCGCATGCGTCGCCGCATTCTTAAAAATCTCGTGTAGTGTATATTTTTTGTGTATGTGTTTTGCAATAAATCTTCATTCAGCCACTCAACGCCAAGCGGCAGCTGCTGCAACAACAACAACAACGCGAAGGTAAGCCAAAAAACTACACTTGCTAAAAAAAAAAACGGAAGAAAAGAATTTTACGAGAGCGCCTTAAATTAATTTACGTTCCATGCGCTCACTGGAAGAGAGCGAATGCAGCAAAAAAAAAAAACTTCACTTGTGCATGTGTGTGTGTGTGAGTGTGGATTTTGCCTGTTACTCTTTGGTCTGGCATTTGGTTCTTTGGCTTTTCTTTTCTATTTTGCTGCTGCGGCCAACTTTTGTTCTGGCTGCTTTGCCAGTTACGCTTATTCGCTTGTTTTGTGCTTTACGCCATTGTCTTGGCATTCGCTTGGGCAGCCGCTGTCGCTGCCGCTGCTGCTGTCGCTGCTGCTTCTGATTCTGCTGCTGCTGCGCTGCGCTTGCAGTGAATCGTAATCGTAAATGGACGCATTCAGCTGGCAAAACTTCGTTCAGTTTTTCTAACCTGCAAATGCGTTATGGTGCACACATATTGTGAATATATGCATATATAAATCGGATTGTATTTTTTATTTATGAAACTTTAATTTTGCTATCTGCTCGCTTTATCAATCAGAAGTTTTGTTGCTTTTCTTGCTCTATTTCATTTCGCTTTGCCTCTCTACGCTCGTGTGTGTGTGTGTGCTTTACTGCTGCCTTTGCTATCTACCGTTATGTTCGATTGCGATTTCGTAATAACTTTGAATTTGCCCGACCGCCGACTGCGATAATATTTATTCGCTTTGCCCTCTCTTTCTCTCTCTCTCACTCTCTCTCACTACACACACACACACTTGCACTTATAAGTGCGCCTGCTGTCTGTGTATTTGTGCATAACTGTGCAATGGCAGCAGGCGGTGTGTGCTTTTGTGGCTGTGCGTGGGCTGCGCTTTATTTATCTGTCTTTCCATCAATCGACTGATATCGGGCAGAGTGCGGGGGCCGCAAACAGCAATTGCAGCGATTGATTTTAAAGTTGATGTAATAAAATATTCATGAAAAGTGCACAACACTTCAAGAGGAAGAAGAAGAAGAAAGAGCAAAAAAAGTAGATAGTAAAAGTGTAAATAACGGTTTATATTTAATGTGCCATAATATTGCGGCGAACTCTCAAGGGCGATGTGTGTGTGCAAGTGCAGCGGATTCCAATTGGAATCCAATTTTGTGCACGTTTTAATTCACAATAGGAATAGTATACCAATTTTGAATGGTAGGAAGAGTAAAAATCTTATATTCTCAACAAATCGAATCTTGTCGACTCTTGTGAATCATTTATCGAGTGGAAAGTGTTTTGATTGGATTTATTTGTAATATTTCGGCTATTAACTGTAAAATTCTTATATTGCTACACGCCGCTTTGACCCACATCACTTCACACACACACTCACACATACGCACACTTTGCTTCATTAATGATCCTGCTGAGTTCCACTATAAACAAAACAAAAAAAAAACAACTAAATTAAAGTGTTTTCCTTACCAGCTCGCACTTCAAATTTGTTTGTTTATGTTCTTTTCGCATATTATTTACATGTGTGCCGTTTAGCCGCTAGAGGGCGCCACTTGAGCAAATGTGTTGCGCTCTTCGACCACTTTGTGTGTCGAGAGCATGAGAACTGGAAGTGGCTTTCCAGTGCCAGGAAAGTCACTTTCCAAAGAATGCCCTTTTGTGACTATGAGGTATCATGGATCTCCACACAAGCTGCAATGGCTTTAATATTGCTTTTGTTGTAGTTGTTGTTGTTGTTGTTGTTCTTCGCTTTGCGGTACTTACAATGGGCGCCTCGCTTTTGACCTGGTGACCCAGCAGACAAGAGATTCGTTTAGCGTTTAAGGCGATTTCGACAAAAGTGCAAAAACTTGGCTGAAACAGCAAGAGAGTGGTGGGGGGGAGAGAGCCGATGCCTTGCGGCCGATTAAAAGCGCGTCTTAATGCGATTTGCATTTGGTTATATGCCATGGCCTAAACGGGTCGTGGCTGCAAAATCTAATTGAGGAAATTCATATTTATTTTTTTTTTTTTGGTTTTTGTTTTTGTTGTTTTCGCGCCTGACCCCAAAGTGCATAAAGTGCTCACGTGCGACTCCTTTTGGGCTCAAGTCATGTGCGTGGCCAATTTCGTGTTGCCTACCTCCTCCCCCCATCCACCTGCCCCGTTCCCCCTTGGTCCGATAAGCGTGTTAATGGCTCATTAGCGGTCTCGACTGTAGATTTGTGTTTAGGCCAAAAGCTATTACACCAAATTGCTAAAATATTAACGAGCTTCGGCGGCCTTTTAACTTTTGGGCGTGGGAGACACCTGTTTTAGCCCCCCTGCACCCCCCCATCCCCCCTCTGCTTCTCCTAATTGCTGTGAAAGCCAATCGAACATCTGATCAGCAGCAAGAGCAGCTGCTGCCCCATTTTGGGCCAAAGATTCATAACTGAACTGAACATCAATTGAATTGGTTTAAACGGGTTTCTCTTCGGGCAACAGGAAGTCGCAATGGTGTTTTTTAATTGCATCGGAAAATGGGCTGAGAATGAGTTTTGAATGAACAACATCGCTTTGATCTGTTGCCATAGCGGAAAGATGACACGAAAGAATTTTGAAGAACGAAATGTTTAAGCGTTGCGACTCGAAAGCACTCGGTAAATTTTGGCTGAGCACTGGAAATGTGGCTCCAAAAATGAGAGATGTGATCCGTAAGAAGTTTATGAGAAGAAGAAGAAAAAGCTGTCGAAATAAATTCAATGGGTTCCAAGTGAAGTTAGCTAACATTAATTGAAAGCTCATTAAATAATAGTTGATCTCATAAAAAGAATGTTTTATTAATGTGGATGGAAAGTTTAAGAAGTGTGATAAACAGAACTGGAAACTTGTGTTATTTTTAGATATTTATGCATATTTAAAAAGATGTATAAAAAAAAAAATTAATTAATAATATATTTAAAAAAATACAATTATTAATATATCTAAAAAAAATATAAATGTAATTAAAAATGTATGAAAATGTAATTATAAATCTTTAAAAAAAGTTTATTAATTAATTTTTAATATTTTTACAATTTTATGATTATATTTTTATGTATTTCTAAATATTTTTACAATTATAGATATTTTATATATTTATTTATATTTATAGTATTTTATATATATTTATGATGTCTGATAAATATTTTATATATTTATTTATAATATTTTAATAATCTATTTTGTATATTAACTTCTTAAGAAGTTCATTTCCAGTTTCTGTACCTACTCAGACTCAACTAATTGCACGATAAAATTTCTTGTTCGATATTCACGAGTTTATTTTCACGCTTTGCCTGTTTTCCACACATATTCGCAAATATTTATATTTCCGCTTCGTATTGTTTGAAACGTTCCTTCGATTGCAGCCAAGCATGACTCATCATATCGAAGATTCTTTGGAAATTCTTGTAATGCCTGGCATTCCACTAACTGTATAAATCCAGTAATCAATTCCGCAATGTACATAAAACAGCACCAGGTTCTACCCAACACCCCCCAAAACCCGCCCCGCCCCGCCCCAAATGTCTGCTCATTCCATTTTGTATTTTGATTTTTTGTTCAATTGCGCAAAACACTTTTTGTTTACATTGAATGCATCAAATGAAACATCAATTTGAGGAAATTGTAGAGTAGAGTTGGTGTTGTGCTCCCCCCTCTCCCCCGCCCCCTTGCTCTACCCTGTCTACGTACTCGTTTGGCAAATGGAAGCACACTTAAGAATTTTGCAATTATCGACAAGAGTTGGCAGCCCCGCCGACAGCAATATCTTTGGCACTTACAATAACAATCGCAAAAACAACAACAACAGCCAAGATCTATAAACTGTGCCTGCTACAACAAAATACCCTTTGTTAATTGTTTAAAAAAGGGGTATATTGGTTTTGTGCCAAGGTATGCAACCGGCTAAGTGAGGTTTCTTAGACCTAAGAGCATTTTTCTATATACTTGATCGAAACGACAAGCGAAGTCCATTCGACTGTATCCTTCTATGTGAACCCGAAGATCTTGGAAAATTGAAATTTAATTGTACCAGCATGAGCTGATCATTATGTGTAAATCTCTTCTCCCACTTTCAGTTTCCACTTTGTGGAAATAGTTAAGATTCTCTTTCAAAACTAAGAGAATAATTAATTCGTGCAGCTATTGTCTTGGTCTTTGGTATTATCTCACTTTTGTATGCCATATTCAAGCCCTGCAAATTTCATGAAGATCGGACTGTAATGTCCGAAGTTAATCAAGAATGGGTTTTTCATAGTCAGGGGCTGGGGAAGAAGAAGCTCAGCCACAGCGTGAGTGTCTGTGTGTATGTGTATGGCCCTTAGCTTCTAGGGAGCTGGAAGACAGCTTGGCTTTAGTCCAGGGTATCTGCTAGTCGTGCTCTGTTCACTTGCTGCAATCTATGTTGTTGCTGCTGCTGCTTGAGTCCCGATCTGTGTGCCAATATAGTTGACCTCCTTTTGATTTGTTTACAACCAAGTGCTGTTAGGGCTAAAGGGGCTGGTAGGCGGTGGAGGGGTGAAGTGGGGGGAGGGCAGGTAGGGGGATTCGAGTTGTTTTCGTGGAAGGTGTAAAATGAAAAGCGAACCGTTTAGCTGTGTGGCAGCCTATCGATATTGTTGCATTGTTTTGTGGCGCAATATTTGACCCACCTTTTGTTGAAAATTGTTGCCCAGTTTCCATCGCCCCCCTCCCTTCCCGCTCTCCCGCTCTCTCTCTCTCTCTCTCTGTTTGGCTTTGAAATTTTCACACATTTTCCGTTTTGTTTTGATTGCTTTTAATGTGCGTTTCGTTTTTGCCATTTGATTGATGTATGCGATATCATTATTGTTGTACATCCTAATCATCATTATCATTAACATCATCATCATCATCATTATTATCATTATCATCATCATAATTAATAATCATTATTATTAACTTCATTTACCAAATAAATTTATGTGGGCTCAACTTTTACTTTTTTTCTTTTTCTTAGATAATTTTCCAACACATAGTTGACTATTTGACTTGA